AGGCTCTCACATTCTCTGCTCTTGCCGTCACCATCACCAACACCCTCCTTTCGGGTGCTCCTGGGGTGGGGTGGGGGGCACCCCGTCCCAAGTCAGAGTGGGATGATATAGGTGAAGGGCTCATACTGAAAGCTCTTCCCACAGGTGAGTGATGGGGTCCCTTGGCTTTTGCTGGCCCCTCTCCACCTATGGCAGTTCCAGAGCAGGCAGAGGGAGAGGGAGGGGGGCCACTGGGGTCAGGGCCACCCCCGCGGTCCCCTACCAGGTGCTTCCTGTTATGCTGCCTCTGGCCTCAGAGTCCTGTTAGGAACGGAGCCGCGCTGGGAACACACAGGGCTTTCCCACTGTGGCTGCGGAGCAGGGGTGCAATCCTGTCTGCTTTTTGGGGCGCTGAGATGGAACCTAAGGCTTCACACATGCCATGAGCTCAAGGCAAGTGCTCATCACTGAGCCAAATCCCCCCCGGCCCGGGTCCCTAAAGCCCAACTTCAAGGATGAGGAAAGAGACTCCCCCATGGCCCTGGCAGGGTTTGAACCTTGGCAGCCTGACCTGGAGCTATGCCCACTCCCAAGAGTCCTGGAGTTCTGCTGAGAAGTATGGGGGGTACCAAGGGCATCAGGCAGAGTCCAGGTTCAACCTAGTCAGGCCCCAGCACTGAAGTTAAAAGAGCGGCAGGACAGAATTGAAGCCATAGTACAGAGCGCAGGGCACTGGCCTTGTGCACAGCTGACCCAGATTCAATTCCTGGCATTCCTGTATGATCCCTGAGCTCAGAGCCAAGAGTAAGCCCTGAACACCACAGGGTATGACCCCCAAATAAGCAAGCAGACAAGCAGAAAAGAACTGTAAGTCAGAGGGATTACATTGAGGGTTAAAGTGCTTACTTGAACACAACAGACCTGGGTTCAAATCCTTGGCACCACCTATGGTTGCCCAAACCTGACCAGTAGTGATCCCTGAGCACAGAGCCAAGAGTAAACCCTGAGCACTGCTGACTGTGGCCCCAAAACAAAATTATATAATCACGGCCTTCTTTCTGCCCCAGGGACCTTAGGGGTCTGTGGGCAGCCCCTATGATACCATTGGCCAATGATGACACGCTGTTCACACCCAGGGATGCTCAGGAGCATCTGTACCTCCCAGTGGGGGCTCAGGGCCACTCACGCTACACCTGGCAATGTTCTAGGGTCCTCCAGGGGTAAGTCAGCTGCATTGGCTTGGGGCTGCACAGTGCTGGGGCCTGAACCTGGGGTTCTGGTATGCAAAGCCAATGCTCCCGGCCTCTGAGTCACTCCCTGCCCACACAGCTGAAGTCATTTGGCTTTTTTTTTTTTTTAATAGTGCTCAGGGCTTACTCCTGGCTCTGAACTCGGTGATCACTCCTGGCAGGGCTCGAAAGATCAAACCCAGGTCAGCTGTGTATGAGGCAAGTGCCTGGCTCCATTGTTGTGTTGCTCTGATCCCCTAGAGTCACTTTTAAGCAACACAAGAATGACCCAGGCAGGGGCTGGAGTGATACCACAGTGGGTAAGGCGTTTGCCTTGCACGCGGCCCTGACCTGGGTTTGATTCCCAGCATCCCATATGGTCCCCTGAGAACAGCCAGGAGTAATTTCTGAGTGCATGAACCAGGAGTGACCCCTGTGCATCACTGGGTGTGACCCGAAAAGCAAAAAAAAAGAAAAAAAAAACAGAAAAAAAACCCAACAACATAAAAAAAGAATGACCCAGGCAGGACAAATGCCACTCACAGACAATACCACAGGGCAAAGATTTCTTTTTTTTTTCAGGGCGAAGTTTTGATGGACAACTTTGTGCCTGCTCTTTGCTGTCTCCCGGACTATTTGGGAGAGGAAAACCCAGCTATGGCCAGATAGCCAAGTTAGAATACACCGTAAGCAGCAGAGGTGGCGTTTTCACCTGTGATCTCCCGCAGCACCTGAGACTCCACGACCTTGCTCGAAAGAGGTAGCCTCACCCCCACGAGAAGAATGGCCTATTAAAGAGGGGGGGTTGGAGCAAAGAAATAAACAGTACAGCAGGAAGGACACTTAGCTTGCACAGAGCCAATCCCTGGTACCACCGAGGCCCACCAGGAGTGCGCTGAGAGTACAGAACCAGAAGTAAGCCTGAGCTAACTTCTAAGCATACTGCTAAGTATGCCCCCCTGAAAAAAATTTAATTTTAAAAACAAAAAGGAGGGGGTGGGCAGAGAGATAGCTCAATTGACTGAGCATAACAAACACCCCCAGAGGCTGCAAGTGGCCCTAAACACACACACACACACACACACACACACACACACACACAAAATGTGAAGGAGACTTGGGACAGACTATTCTGAAATGCCAGAATCTGGGCCAGGGATGGCTCAAAGAGCTACAGCACAGGCTCCGCACGCAGGAGGTCTGGATTCAGTCCCCAGTACCCTATGGTCCCTGAAGCATCACCAGGTGTGACCCAAAAAACAAAACAAAACAAACAAAAAAAATGGGTCATAATAGAACTTAAGTATAAACATTAAGCACTGTGTCAGTAAAATTTGCTTAAATTTGAGGGGTCAGAGCGATAGTATAGTAAGTGGGGCATTTGCCTTATAGTCGACCCGGGTTCGATCCCCAGCATCCCACATGGTCCCCCAAGCACAGTCAGGAGTGATTCGAGTTCATAGTCTACAGTAACCTCTGAGCATCACCAAGTGTGACCTCCAAAACAAAAACAAAAAAAAGTACTTAGGGGTAAAGGATAACTGATGGGGGGTTGGTGGAAGGGCAGCGCACTCAGCAGTGCTCAGGGCTTACTCTTGTATTCAGGGATCAAGCCCTGGCAGGGCTTGAGGGACTATGAGGGGTGCTGAGGATCAAACACATCAGCATAGCCACATGCAAGGTAAGTGCCCTTCCCGCAGTCCTGTCTCTCTGGCCCAAGAATAACCAAGTCTTGATGACTAAGTAGAGAATTATGTGTGCATGTGAAAGGGAAAAGGAGATCAGAGAAGCCGCTGCATCCATGTCGGTGAGAGAGAAGACAGTGTTCTCAGAAGTACCCTGCAACTATGTAAGGCCATAAGGGTTCCGGGCGTCCTCAGCCCTGGGCCCTGAGAATTCTTGAGAATTTTTTTTAAACTTGAGAAGCACTAATTTCTAGCCTACAGACATATCGCCAGGGGCTGTGGGCCCAGCTGAGATCAGACAAGACAGGAGCAAGGTAAGAGGGCCAGGCCAAGCAGACACCCCTCAAACTGTCTACTGTAGTTATACTTTTGGTTTAGGGGTTGTTTTTTGGGGGGGGATCAAACCCAGCAGTGATCAAGGTACACTCTGCAGTGCTGGAGATCTAACCCAGCAAGGAAAGCACTCAACCCACTATAATATCTCTCTGGCTCCTCCTATTGGGTTTTGGGCCATACCCAGCATCACTCTCAACTCTGTGATCAAGGGTCTTGAACCAGGTCTCCTTTTTTTGTTTTTTCTTTTTGGGTCACACCCAGTGATGCTCAGGGGTTATCCTGGCTCTGCACTTAGGAATTACTCCTGGCGGTGCTTGAGGGAACCATATGGGATGCCGGGGATTGAACTCAGGTTGGCCGCATGCAAGGCAAATGCCCTCCCAGAGGTACTATCGGTCCGACCCAGTTTTTTTTTTTAACGAGACCTCCTTAATGCCAAGCCAGTGCTGAGCCCGCTGAGATGTCTCTGGGCCCTACAGTTCTGTCACTCAACCACCACCACCTGCTCCCTGAAGCCCACCCTAAAGCCACAAACAGGCCTTGACTCGGGAGGTCCGTCATGGGTTTATTGCCAAACCTCACGAAAGGCGCTTGAAGCAGAAGACACGGGGTAGCAGCCCCCTGACGACGCAGACAGTAGGCAGTGTCTGTCCACAGGCCCCCTGGGAGCTGGGCAGTCGCGGGTCCCAAGCTACTGGACTGGCCTGATTACTTAAGAGGACACTGGGGTTCTGGTGACCGAAGTGAGAGATTGAGCTAAGGCCCCTGGCCCCCGCCAGGCAACTGGTAAAGGAAACTTCCTGAGGAGAACCGGCAGGGCCGGGGCTGAGGACGCCCAGAACCCTCATGGCCTCGTCCTAGACGTGGAACCCAGTTTATCTCCAGAAGGTAGCTTGGGGAGGTCTAAGGGAGCCCCCAAGCCCCCTGCCCAGTCGAGACTGCAGTGGCTCAGAGCAAACTCCCCCCTACTCCACTCCCCGACACCATCCCTCACAAACCAGTAGCCTCAGTGGCACCCTGGGCAGCCCAGGGGCCCAAAGTTGGCCCTCCTCTCAGAAAGCAAAGTGCACAAAGGACCCCCTGGCAGGCCTGTCCCTGCCCACCGGCTCTGCCCTTTGTCAGGTAACACCACGGAAAGCCTGGATGTGAGGCAGGGCCAGGGATGGGAGCACGCACCCCTTTCCCCCAATGTGCGGGAGCATCAGGTATTGGGGACCAGGTCGTGGAGGGGACCCCATCCCCTTGGGGCACAGGCAGTGAGCTGTATCGGAAGTCTCAGCCTTGAATCTATATCTGGGGAGCAGCCCCAGGTGGGGGACCGGCAGGTGTGGGCGCTTCTCCCTGGAGCTTGCCACTCTCAGGCGGGACTTTCTACTGTGGAGGCCAATGCTAGGGCCTTCCCAGGGGTCACCCTGAGCCAGGCTAAAGGGTGGAGGCAGCATACAGCCACGTTTCTCCTACACCCTGGCCTGCCACCCCCGACCCTCGGAGCTGACCCCTCCCAAAGGCCACCTGCAAGCACAGCCTCCAGGCTCCCCCACTGGTCGGGGTCTGGGCAGCCCCTAGGAACAGGTGGGAGGGGCCGGGCGGCCTGACGCCCTAGGGTGGGGCTCAGCTGTAAACTCCTGGGGGTGGGCACAGAGGTGGTACCCCCAGAATCCCAAGCGCGGGACCCAAGCCCTGGGGTGGTCTGGAACGACCCCAATTGCACAGGTCCAAAGCCCTCCCTCCCCCCATCGTGCCAGGGGGCTGCGGCGGTCAGGCTGGCTGGCGGCGGGCGGTCCTGATGCGGCTCCCCCGGGCTAGGGCACGCTGCGTCGGTACAGGGTCACGAGCTCCTTCCGCTTCTCGGCCAGCACGGGGGCGCCGGGGCCGTCCTGGCCGCGCTCCCCCGCCACGCGGAGCTCCTGCAGGACCTGCGTGGCCTGTCGCAGCTGCTCCACGGCCTGGCTCAGCAGCGCCTCCGCGTCCACGGCGCCCGGCTCGCCCCCCGCGCACGCGGCGCAGCAGCTTCTCCGTCTGCTCCGATGCCACCTTCACGTCCAGCTGCGCCCGGAACAGCCGCTCGGGGGGCACCCGGGACCCCTCGGCCAGCAGGTCCCCCAGCGAGGAGCAGCGTGGGTGCGGGTGCGGGTGCGGCGGCTCGGCCTGGGGAGGGGACATGGAGCCCGCGGGGGCCATGTCGGTGGGCGTCCCCGGGCGGTTGGGGGTCCCCGGCGGCTGCAGGGGCTCCTGTCCTTCCGCCACACCGTTCACGGCCACCTGGCCAGGTCCTGCGATGGTCTCGGCGGTCTCAGCAGTCTGGGCGCTCGGAGCCGGCTCGGACACCTCCACGGAGACCCTCAGTCTCTCCGACAAGATCTTGGGTGGGGGTGTCGGGGGCTGCCCCCCTTGCTTGGGCTCCAGGGCCTCGCAACCTGGCCCCGGGGCCGGCTCCTCCCAGCTCACCTTCAGTCTGTCGCCCTCGGGGTCCCCCCTGTTGGGGGGCTGCTTGGGGTCACTGTCCTTGTGAGCTGGAGCCACTGAGTCCTCCTGGCTCTCACCATTGGCACCCGAGGCAGCAGGGGCCGGGGTGGGGCCCCTCTCCTGGGCCGGGGACTCTGCTCTAGATCCAGGATGGCTCCAGTCAGTTGCTGGGGACGGCTTGGAAGGGGGCATGGGGGGTAACAGCACCTCCCGAGCCGGGGCTGCCACTCCCTGGTCACTGGGGACAGCGGCGGGGGGTGCGCTGTCAGGAACATCCAGGTCGAGGCGGGTCAGGCCCTCAGATGCTGCGTTGGCTACCTGGCAGGGAGATGAGCATCATGAGTATCATCAGTGACTGGGGACCCTCCCATCCAGACCCCACCCCCTGTGCCCCGGTGACCCCCTCCTCTGGCCACTCCCCCTAGAACTCCAGGTGGGAACCACAGGCCAGGAAACCAGTTGGTTTCTGCCCCCTGCTCGGCCTGGGTGTTGGGACGGAGTCCCTAGGGATGGCCGGCCCAGAGGTGCTCCTCCGCTGCACCCACCCCAATCCCAGGGACCCCCACATCCTCCTCTGACCTTGGAACCCACCCATCTTCATGGTCAGCTCAGGTGTCTGTCTAGAGTCCCTCAGGCCACTGCCGGACCCTCACCGATGACAGTGAGTGGCTCTGCTGGGAGCAGCCTGAGGGCCAATGGCCGCAGCTGGGGCGGGGGAATTGTCCCTCAGGGACCAGCTTGGTGCCCCAGCACGAAGCAGGAACAAGGGAACCCAGCCAGGGTCTGCTGACCTCACCTCCTTCAGGTGGACACGCGTCGGTGGCCGGCGCCGCTGGCCCCCTCGGACACGGTCGCGCGTCACATGCTCCAGGGCACAAGTCTTGTCCACTTTTACCTGGGAGGGAGGACAGGTAAGAACCTGGGGCTGCCACAAGAGTGGCGGGGAGGAACATCTGCCCCCCCACCCCCACCCCTGCCCAGTCCTTCTGCCCAGAAGGGTCCTGGGCCCCAGTTGTCAGCGGGGAGCAAATACAGAAGCGGAACTGTAGGGGCGGGGGTCCAGCTATTGGCCCAGCAGCATGGGGACTGGACTTCCAGAAAAGTCCAGGCTGACTCACTGTCTTAGGACCTTAGGGCAGCCCAGGCTGAAGCACCCACACATCCTCTCTGAGGGTCAGGAAACGAGGGACAGTGGTAGCCGGCAAGTCATGGGGAAATCCACACTCTGAACCCCAGAGCAAGGTCAGAGTCAGGAGAGTGGGCAGGGCGCTTGCCTAGTTCAATTCCCAGCACCCCATGGAGCCCCCTCAATCCCTCCAGGAGTGAGTGATCCCTGGGCACAGAGCCAGGAGTTAGCCCTGAACACCATCAGGTGTGGTCCAAAAACCAATACATAAACTTAATATGGGGCTGGAGCGAGAGTACAGAGGGGAAAGGGTTTGCCTTGCTGACAGCCGACCCAGGTTCGATCCCCTGCATCCCATATGGTCCCCCCAGCACCTCCAGAAATGAATTCTAAATGCAGAGCCAGAAGTAACCCCTGAGCATTGCTGGGTGTGGCCCCAAAACTAAGTAAATAGAACAGACCCAGAGAGGAGGAGGAGGAGGAATGTATCTCTGGGTTCAGGCCACCGCACCGAGGACTCAAGTTTCTGCCTCTCACTGGTGGGATAGGGGTCATCTGGGCTGATCTTTCATGGGCAAGTTGGAAAGGACCTCCCTGGTCGAGCAGCGCTGGCCTGGCCGCCGCTGCTGAAAGATGCAGCCCTCAACCCGCCTGGCCCTGTACGGCCACGCGCTTCCTCCTTACACCCCATTTCTCCCTCTGCCACCTTCTGTGAGGGATACGATGAGAGCAGCAGCCCCCAGTCCAGGGGCGGATGGGAGGCAAGCGGGACCCCGAGCGGTCAGGGGCGGCGGCTCACCTCATCGAAAACCTTGTTTTTGCCTCGGCTGATGCCCTCGTTGAGGGCTCTGATCCATGACTCCTTCTCCTCGCCGCTGGGCGCTTGGAATTTGATGTCGCTGACCTGCAGGGCCGGGCAGAAGAGGGAGACGCTGACATACAGTGCATGCTGGGGGGCTTCAGCGCCTCAACTCAGACCCCCCAAGTCAGCTGCAGCAGCACAGCCAGGCAATCGTCCATCAAGACCCCATGGCAGGTGTGACACGGGCTTCAGGAAGGGAAGGACAGGGTCTGCAGGGGGGCTCACAGAGGTACAGCAAGGACCTGCTCCCTGGGACACCCCCGGCCAGCTGCTGAAACTCCAGGCTTCTGTTTTCTGGAGAATGCTGTAGTAGGAACTGAGAGACGGGCTTCATATGTGGGAGGCCCAGCCGGCTAGCCTGGGCCTCAGGGCCCATGTCCATGAAGCTGCAGCCACCAGCCTGAGCATGATCGGCCAAGAAATCCTTCCCTCTGCACTGAGCCCCAGTTCCCTCCTCTGCAACAGGGGTAACATGCAATGCTAAGGGCACTGAAATGATAGCAGCAAAGCCAGAGAGGGAGTACAGTGGAGAGGGTGCTTGCCTTGCGTGCAGTTAACCTGGGTTTGACTCTCAGCATCCCATACGGTCCCCCAAGCACCACTAGGAGTAATGGCTGAGCTCAGAGCCAGGAGTAACCACTGAGTGTCACCAGGTGTGGCCAAAAACAAACAGAAAAAGCCCCCCAAAACATGGGGACTGGAGTGATATAGATAGCACAGGGGGTAGGGCAATTGCCTTGCACATGGCCGACCCAGGTTCGATTCCCGGCATCCCATAGGGTCCCCTGAGCACTGCCAGGAGTAATTCCTGAGTGCAGAGCCAGGAAACCCAAAAAGCAAAAATAAATAAATAAAGCCCCCACAAAACAAAACAAAACAACTCAAGAGGGCCAGAGAGAAAGCACAGTGGGTAGGGAACTTCCCCAGCACTGCATAGGACTAATCTCTGAGCACCACCAGGTGTGTGTGCTTAACCCACCGCCCCCCCGAAAAAAACATAAAAGAAAGGGACATAAGAAGCCTGCGCCCAGTGTCCAGTGGGTGTCTAAAGGGAACAGCTTGGAGAGTGGGCGAGCCAGGGCAGGGATGACTGACCCAGCCTGAGGCTGAGGCTGCTGCCCATTCTCTGACCCGGCGGGTGGCCAGTCTGCCCATCCCCCAGCCCGGTGTTCAATAGCGCCTTCCTCCCCGTTATGTAACACCCCGCCCGCCCGGCCCTCAGCATCTTCATTATATAACTTCCTCCTGGCCAGCGCCTCCTCGAGGCCCTGGGTCCCACCCTCCTCCCCAGGACAGGCCCAGCCACATGCTCATTTGCATGACTGAGCCCTGATGCAAGCAGTGGAGTCAGAGCTCCAGAGGCACCTTGGCAGCGGCTCCTGAGCGCAGCGGGCAGAGCTTTGCGAGGGACAGTGTGCCCAGCAGGGCCCGCTGGGGCTTCCCACCATCCAGAGTGCTGTGCCGGGCAGTGAGGGGCAGTGCAGCACTGGGCAGTCCGGACCCCCACAGAACCAGGACAGAAGCACCAGCCCCACTGCAGCCTCGCTCACTGCTTTGCCACCTAAAGCACGCAGGGCCCTGAGGGGGTGTCCACTCTGCTCCCCCCAGGGGAGACCTATTGTGCTGGCCAGAGGGCGCCCTCGGGAGGGCAGAGGAGGTCAAGAGGAATTTCCTCCTGTCAAATCAAAAAGTCACGCCTGGGGCAGAGGATAGTACCACAGGGAGGGCACCTGACCTACGGTTGATTCCCCAGGATCTCATGGGGTCCCCTGAGCACCACCACGAGTGGTCCCTAAGGGCAGAGCCAGGAGTAAGTCCTGAGCACCGCAAGGTGTGGCCCCCAAACGAACAAAAAAAGTTGGTCCTTGCATACTTCCCATTCCCCAGACCATGCTGCAGAGTTGCAGACTGGGCAGGACCCTCCCCAAGTCCCCACAAGGAGCTCAGGGGCCCAGGACTGCCCGCAGGCCCTGGGAGAGGGGTAAACCACAGGACAGAGAAGAAACAATGGGGGAGGTGAAGGCAGGAAAGAGGAAAAGGCCAATCTGGCCGGGACAAACCAGGCAACAAGGCCCAGCAAGGCCACCCTGCTTCCTGGCAGCGTCTGCCCGGTGACCTCATGGCAGGGGCGTGGGGATGGGGAGGCAGGGGGAGAGGGCAGGCAAGACACTGGCCTCTTTGTTTATTTGATTAGGGGGGAAAAGCAGCCTGGGACCAGACTGCTAGGGTCATGTGACCTCCCCAGCTGGAGGCCTCGAGAGGATGGGGAACACCCAGGGAGAGGGGAGGACAGCCGTGGGAGTGGGGCTGGGATGCTCTGGAGAGTCCCACTCTCCCCGTGCTCCAGGACCCTGCAACCTCGACCACACTCCCCGTGTTCCCAAAGTCAGCCCAGCCAACCTCAAGTTTTGGCAGGACTGGGAGGCAAAAAGGGTGTGCCAGCGAGCAGCTGAGAACGCACGGTGCCAGGGGGAAGGGGGCAGCAAAGCAGAGGACAGGGACCAAGTCCTGCTGGTAGTCACATGCACGCACATTCAGACACACCTACCTGCAGTCAGGTGTGTGCGCTCGCGCGCGCGCGCGCACACACACACACACAGTCACAGACATTCACACATCAGCCCACAGTCATGAATACACACATATGCCCACCTGCAGTCACACACATGCACATACATTCACATGCATATGCATGGGTGCACAATACCCTCCCATATGCACACAGACATGCACATGTGTGCAGTCAGTAGCACATGTACATTCATTCGAATACATGCATGTGCACATGTGCACACCCACTTGCACACACACACACTTGCAGTGCATGTGTACACACAAACACATGTGCACACACATGTACACTTGCACGTACATGTATAGAATGCACATACATGTGCCCTCACACATGCACACATGCACAAAATCGCACTCACATGTACATGTATATACATACATTCACACATGCATTTGGACACACACATATGCACACACAGACACTCACACGTACATACACACACTTGCACATGTATACTCACTTGTGCACACTCACACGCACATATGTGTAAATAAGTACACACTTGTACCTGCACACATATGCACACGTGTGCTGCCAACGCTTCCCCGCGTACAGGAGACACACAGTCAGAAACAGCCTCCTACAGAATGTTCTCCACACCCGCCCTGCACACACACCTACAGGGTCTTGCAGGTCAGCAAAGGATGCAGGGCCTCAAAGCCCAGCCCGCAACTCTCCTTTCATCCAGAGCTGCCTGAGTAGGGCCAGCGAACAAGTGCAATAAGCTGAGCACAAACTCCACTTGCAGGAGGCCTGGAGGCACTACACGGTCTCCTAAGCACACTAAAGTGACCCCTAGGACTGGAGTACAGCAGGTAGAACGCTTGTCTTGCACACAGCCAACCCAGGTTTGATCCCCCGCATCCCATATGGTCCCCCGACCACCACCAGGAGTAATTCCCTATTGCAGAGCCAGAAGTAATCCTTGTGCATCACCGGGTGTGACCCAAAAAGCCAAAAAAAGAAAAAAGCAAAAAGTGATGACACCCCCCCCCCACCAGCAGAGTTGGGAAAAGCACACTCCACCTAAAACACACACACACACACACACACACACACACACACACACACACACACACAGGACTCATGAGGGGTTTGAGCGATAGTACTGCAAGTGGGATGCTTGCCTTGCACACAGCTGATCCAGGTTCGATCCCAGCATCCCATAGGGTCCCCTGAAAACCACCAAGGGTGAGCCCTGATGATCCAGAGCCAGGAGTAAGCCTGGAGCTGGAGTACAGCCAGGTGTGGCCCCCAAACAAAACAAAACCGAAAAAAAGCAGATGTTAACTGCAATCAGCCCATGAGATGTATGGCACCAAGAACACACCCCTCAGCTCGCTGTCAACTTGTGCTCTCCCATGAACACGTATCTCACTTGTCTGGATGTTTCTTTGCTTTACCTATTTCCATTCTGGAGAAGTCCATATTCTCTCTTAGACACATAATTCTCTCGTTCTCTCCATTCACATCTTTCTAAATAAGCTTCAATAAAAACTATTTTGCTTAGGGCTGGAGCAATAGTACAGCAGGTAGGGCACTTGCTTTGCATGTCGCTGACCTAGGTTCTATCCCCAGCATTCATATGGTCCCCCAAGCACTACCAGGATTAATTCCTGAGTGCAAAGCCAGGAGTAAACCCTGAGCATCACCAGAAACAAAACGAACAAACAAAAAAAACTACACTGCTTCACAAAAAAAAAAAAAATTTAAAACAGAAAGAAAAGATTGTACCCCTCCCACCTGGACCCCCAAATGCAAACCCCATCAGGCCCTGGGAAAGACCCCCAACAGGAGACTTTCCCCAGCTTCTGTGGAGAAGGAAAAGGCAGGGCAGAGAGCTGGGGGCTGCACCAAGTCCAAGCAGCGGTGTGAGGGGACAGGTGACCAGCAGAAGGGACATGAAGGCCTCCTCCCCCACTTTGCAACCTCAGCCTGGCGGAAGAAGGTGTCAGCTCCAAAGGGCACTTTGCAGCCAAAAGCAGTCTGGGAGAGATCCCCAACCGTGGCCCATCGTCCAGGAGACTCCCCATGCCCCACCCGCCTGCCCAGGGGCCAGTGAGTTCCCACAGGCCGGCCCGGCCCACCTTGTTCCCGGGCGATCGCAGCAGGATGAAGCGGTGCTTCCGCTTCAGGAGGGCCCGGAGGTCTTGGCACTTCTCATAGCTACCCAGCTCCACCGTCTCCACACACTTCTGCTCGTCCTGGAGAGAGACCAGGGGACACACCGAACCCTGAACACCCAGGCCCAGCCGTGCTGACCCCCCAGTGAGGCACCTCTGACCCCAGCTCAGGGCTCAGGCACCGACTGACCAATATGGGACACCGGATTCACTGTCCACTGGCTGGTGGATGCCCCCAACGCTCAGCGTCTACATGAGATGTGGGGCTTTCAGCCTGGGCGGTCCCTCACCACTGATCCAAGGTGCTTCGGGCCAAAGAAGGAGACGGTCAGAGCAACAGAGACTTGGGGGAGGCTACAGAACCACACGGTGGGGCTGGAGTGGATAGGGCGTTTGCCTTGCACGCGGCCGACCTGGGTTGGATTCCCAGCATCCCATATGGTCCCCCAAGCACCACCAGGAGTAATTCCTGAGTGCATGGGTCAGGAGTAACCCCTGTGCATCGCCGGGTGTGACCCAAAAAGAAAGAAAAAAAAGAACAACACAGAACACAGTCTGAGACGGACGCAGAGGGTCCGGATTAGGGAGTTAGCTGGGGCACCCAATGAGACCCAGAGGAGAGTAAGAACCAGGAGTACCGGGGCACCCTGTCCTGTTGTCCCCACCAGATCCTGATTTGACTCCCCCACAGACCCCTGACTTGGGGCGAGGGACTACCCCCCATGGCTTGCACAACAGGGCAAGAAATTCATCAAAGCACCCCCTCCTTCCCCAGCCTAGCCATGGAGGCCTCAACACCAATCGGGGGAGGGAGGCTGGCTCTGGGGACTGGCCACCAATTAGGAAAAGCCTGTGGCTGAAGCGATGGCACAGTGGGTAGGGCATTTTCCCTGCATGCTGCCGACCAGGTTTCGATTCCCAGCATCCTATATGGTCCCCTGAGCACCGCCAGGAGTAATTCCTGAGTCCTGAGCCAGGAGTGACCCCTGTGCATCGTGGGTGTGACCCAAAAAGAAAAAAAAAAAGCCTGGGGGACATGGCTGGAGCAATAGTACAGCAAGTAGGGCACTGGCCTTGCACTTGCACGAGGCCCTACTCAGGTTCCATACCAACATTTCATATGGTCCCCCGAGCACTAACAAGAATAATTCCTGAAGGCAGAGCCAGGAGTAACCCCTGAGCATCACTGGGCTCTCCACCCCCACCCCCAAACGCTGAATCATCCCAGCCCTTTTGCGGCTCAGGAAAAAAAAAATAAAAGATAGAACAGCAGACCCTGGGCGGGGGCAGCATTTTTGGAATGTCAGGCTCACTGACAGCAAGAGACGGCCAAGAGGCGTTCACACGCGCCAGGGGGACTTGCCTCAGAAAGAGGAATTGAACTAATAAGCAATTCTCAATTCCGGCTCTGGGGCCAGGCTCCCCCACCCCTTGAGTGTGAAGTTCTCGAAACAGCCCAGAGGTTTCTCGATGGGGCCTTTTTCTGGTAAAGGATGAGCGGAGTCATTCATGCTTAGAGGATGCGCAATCCTTCCTGCTTCCCAGCTGTGGCCAGATGTGCCGAGGCGGCCCCAGACGAGCGGGGCAGTGCCTGACAGCTGACAGCCGAGGACCCATCACTCCACTCTTCCAGTCCTAGCAGCTGGAGAGGAGGAGGCCGTGAGCTTACAAAAATAGCCCCCCTTCTGCCTTCCTGGCATCGTGGAATCCGGAGGCAGCAACAGCAGCAAACATCTGGGGGGCTGTGCGCACACATCCAGCCTCTAGCCCTTCCTGTCCCCCTACCCCTCGGCTCCCTGAGCAGGATGGACACTGGGCCTCAGAGTCAGCTCCTCGAGCACTTGATCTGGCTGCTAATCTCACTTGCCTGGCACAAGCATGGACTGGCTAAAATAGGCCGAGGCCCTACTGGTGGGGACGAGGCAGGAACCCCTTCTTCCGCTCCTCCCACTGCTCCAGCTCTTCCCCCATGGACTCCAGCTGCCAAAGGGTGGCCTGACCCTTGCGTCAGGCCCTGCCAGCACGCAAACAGCATTCGCACACATAACTGCAGCCTCCCAAACTGGCTGATGCCCAGGGCTGGGGATCTGAGAACAGATACGTGTCACAAAGAAGCAGGGCCGCGGCGGGGGCCGCCTGATGCGCCCCAAGAAAAACAGCTGCAAAGCACAGTGTGACACTCTGGGACAGGCTGAGTGGAGCAGGGAGAGAGAGAGAGAGAGAATCAGTTTAAATAGGCCTGTTCCATTGAAGAATTCAGAGAACACTGAACAAATTTTATTTTTGGGTTTTTTTTTTTTTTTTTTGCTTTTAGGGTCACACCCGGCAATGCACAGGGGTTATCCTGGCTCATGCACTCAGAGATTACTCCTGGCAGTGCTCAGAGGGACCATATGGGATGCTGGGAATTGAACCCGGGTCAGCCGCGTGCAAGGCAAACACCCTACCCGCTGTGCTATCGCTCCAGCCCCTGAACATATTTTAGAAGATTTTCACCAAAAGGAAGTTTGATTGCTTATTATTTATCTGTTTGCTTGCTTTATTTGGGGGTCATATCTGTCTGTGCTCAGGAATCACTCCTGATGAGGCTCAGAGGACCACATGGGATGCTGGGGATCGAACCCTGGTTGTCCACATATAAGGCCAGCACCCTACCCACGGTACTATCACTCCGGCCTGTTTTGGCATTTATGTGCTGGAGCTTCGGAGCGGTTTGGTTCCAGACCCAGCGCCTTCTCTTGCTGAGCTGCCTGTCGGTTTGCCCTGAGCCTCAGTGCTGACCTCTGTAGAATGTGTCACTAGCCTCTGTCCTCATGGGACTGTCGGGAGTGAGAGCATCAGAGAGGACAAGTTAGAGCTCACACAAAAGCAGGTGCAGGGCTAGAGTGATAGCACAGTGGGGAGGGCGTTTGCCTTGCACACGGCTGACCCGGGTTCGATTCCCAGCATCCCATATGGTCTCCCGAGCACCACCAAGAGTAATTCCTGAGTGCATGAGCAAGGAGTAATCACTGTGCATTGTCGGGTGTGACCCAAAAAGAAAAAAAAAAGCACAGGTGCTTATTTCCACGCCCCTTTCTGAAAGGTGTAAGCTCCAGGCTTCTGGGATATTGATTCCATCATGTGGAAGCCACCCCAGAGTCACTGAGTGCAGCAGTTCTGCTGAGGAGGTGTGCACACTTGTTCAGAGGCTCTCCTACCTCAAACGGCCCCTCACTCCGGAGCCCTGGCCTGGGGCCTCCAGCTGGTCTCTTCTGCAGAGGTCCAGAGGGTTCTGCCCTAGCCCACTGACCCCAGGCCCAGGCAGTAGCTTACCTCATTCTCGAAGACCAGCAGCTGAGCCTGGCAGAGGAGCAAGTACCGGTCTTTCCAGAGCCCCAGGAAGCCCCCACTGCTCTTCTTGATCCAGCCGGCCTTGTCCGCTGTCCGGGTTCCCCGAGGCTTCTCACCACCCTCCTTTAGGTCCTGGAAGACAGCACCAGGACACAGAGCCAGTTGGTGCATAGGTCATGCCAGAGCTGGGTCCCCGGGCTGGAAACCTTCTCACATTATCCCTGGTAGCCTCTCCAAAGACCCCTGGGCAGCCGCTCCTAATCCAACAACAGAATAACGGGCCACCGAGGCTGGAAAGATGGCACAGCAGGGAGGGTGGGTGCCTTGTACACAGCCAACTGAGTTCAATTCCTGGCATTCCGTATAGTCCCCCTGGCATCACCAGGAGTGATTCCTGAGCACAGAGCCAGGAGTAAACCCTGACCAAAGCCTGGTGTGTATCCCCACCACCTCCCCCCCCAAAAAAAAAAATGAGCATCTGGAGAGCTAGTTCAATGGGTAGGGTGCTTGCCTTGCATCAGGCCAACCCAGACCCAATGACTAGCACCCTGTAGTGTCCCCAAACCCTGCTAGGAGTGATCCCTGAGCACCACAGGGTGTTGTCCCAAACAAAACAAAACAAGACAAACAGAATAAACAATAACAAGCAGAAGAGCAGCGTCACCTGATCTGGGCCACCACATTACATTTCTGGGCATGTGAAATGAGGGAAAGCCCAGGGCCGCACACGACCACACAGCCACATCCCGACCCACACGGGACTCTACACGTTGCATCCCATCCTCCTATGCGACCTCGGGTCTTCCCCCCACCACTCTGTTCCAGCACTCATCCCACGGTCACCAGACAGTAGAGGAGGGAGATAAAAATAGAAAGAGGGGCAGGCGCGAATATACAGGGTAAAACACTGGCTTCACACTCGGCTGATTCAGGTTCGAACCCGGGTAACCCCAGCTGGTCCCCCAAGGCATGCCAGAAATAGTCACCTGAGTGAAGCCACGAGCACCGCCTAGTGTAGCCCCAAAACCATAAAAAGAAAAAGAGAAACAGGAAGAAACGCCCCCGCCTGGGGCTTACAGTGTAGGAGAGCTGAATCCGCAAACACAGTGATGGGTATGACCAGCCAGGGGTGTACCTCCCACCCAGGCGAGGACCTGGGGGTGCCCCCTCACCTGGTGGTGGTACAAGCACTCCCTTCTCTACCATAGGCTGGCAAGGGCCTAAACCCTGGGCCTTCCCCTAGACATAACGGCACCAGTCCTCCAGGTCCACCACTGACATCTTGGAGGTCTCAGTGGCCAGCTCGGATGTCAGGGTCATGGCTACCAGTGGGGCCCCTTTAACTTCTGGCCCCAGCACCTAGAGCTGCTCCTTTACAGACAATGGGTGTGAGTCAGAGAGCCGGTGCAGGGGTCAGACACTGGCCTTGCACACGGCCAAGCCCAGTTCTACATTGGGCCCCCCAAGCACAGCCAGGGGGTCACTCCAGAGTCCAGAGTCAGGAGTAGCCCCAACATCACTGGGTGTGGCCCCCAAACCAAATCAAACCAACAAAATACATAATAATGGGGGTGGCAAGAAACATCTGTGAAGCGAAAATAAAGACAGCAATTCCCTAGGCACTTTGCAGCAGTGACAGGGACCGAAAAAGTGAAAGTGGAGGAAGGAAGGAACAGTGGGCCTTGCAGGCCTGTGTGTGTGCATGCGAGCTTGCAGCGCTTACCTGAGGAAATCGGCGCTGACTAATTCTGACTGCTTTATAATTTACATGTGGCTCAAAAAGGGAGCCCCAGTTAAAGGAGACCCGCCTCTCCCCAGGGGTCCCGATGGCCACAGCCGCCTGTGGAAGGGCGCAAGCCCAGGCAGATGAGCGGGCTGAGCTGTCTGTCAGCAGCTGGGCAGGGCTGCCTGCTCTGACGGTGCTGCAGGCAGCGGCCGGTTCCCGCCCCTCGGAGCTGCACGCCCCACACACTTGCGGCCCAAGGCCTGCGGGGTCAGTCAGCGATCGGTCTCCGCCTCCAGCTTCTTCCTTAGTAAAACTAAAGCAGGCAGAGAAGCTACAGGGATGGTGATCCCAAACAAGGAGGCTCTCGAAGGGCTGGGCTTGCATGCAGGAGCCCAGCTCTGATCCCCCAAGCAACTCAAGGTGGTGCCCCCCCAGACCCCAAGATGACAGGTCCCATGAGAGCGCTTGCTCTGTCCACTGCTGTGGGCAGTGCCCAACACACTACATCAGCACTGGCTGCAGTGATCACCCCAGAACAGGCTGGGGGACCCTCGGCAGGCTGCCTCGGTATCTCAGGGCCCCTCTCCTGGGGGTGAGGCCAGACTTCAGGGCTGTTTTTCTGGGCTGAGCTGTGGGGCTTGTACCCCAAGAGCTCCGGGAAGCAAGCACCCGAGGCCGGGCAGGAGGGCTCACCCCGACATATAGCCAGCAAGAGAAAGGGGGAAGTGGGAGGGTCCCGAAGGTCTTCCAAGGGGGAATGAGGAAGTGGGGGCGTGCCACGCCTGGCGTCTCTCACACCCTAGGAGGCACCCAACTCCCTTCCCCCACTCCCCAAACACCCAGGATCCAGCCCCCAGGAGCCCTGCAGGGTGGAGCCCGGAATAGGAAGAAGTGGGATCTGGGCAAGGCCACCCCCTGACCCCTCACCCCACTCCCCTCCCCGCCACCTTCACCCTGTACCTCTCACCCCACACCCCACACTCCACACCACAGCCCTCAGCATGGCCACAGATGCCCCGTCCCACTCCTGTTCTTCTTGGGAAGCTGCTGCCCAGGGGTCACCGCCTCAGGCCTCCAGCTCTCCTCCTGCCTCCCAGGCCCACCCAGCAGCCCAGGACACCTCACCCCTACTTCTCAGCGGCCCCCTCTGCGACTTCCCCTGCCTACCTCACCCACTGCAGCTGGATGCTCCCAGGGGTGTTCTGCGCCTCCACCCGCTTAGGAGACGCAGCAGAGCAGCACCCAAGGAGCTAGAGATGCAAGTGTGGGTGGGCCCCAGGGGGTGGGACCTGGGAGTCCGGGTGGGTCCGAGGCAGGAAGCACTGTGGGGTGGGGGGGGGGTGCCAAGTCAGAGTAAAAGGACAGCGGGTAGGGCATTTGTCTTGCATGTGGCCAAGCTGGGTTTGAATCACCAGGAGTGGTTCCTGAGGGCAGAGCCAGGAGTAACCCCCAAGCACCACTGGTGTGCCCCAAAAACCACTCCCCCCTCCAAAAAAAAGGAGCGAGGAGGAGGATCCTCCCACACACACCAAGGGCCTGACTGGCCACCCTGGCAGGGCTCACAGGGAAGGTTTTGTCCTGGCCACCAACTGGCTGTGGTCCTGCCTGCCCTCCCCTCAGGGGGCCCCTGCCTGCGCCCTGGGAACCAGCCCAGATCCCTCTGCCTGCCGCGGGGGAGGGGGTCCCTGGGTCACTCACTAAAATATGAATAAGTAATAAAGCGAGAGCCATCGCCATCAGAACGCTGGGCACAGACCAGGCCGCAGGAAGGTGCCGCAAGACCAGGGACCCGGAGACAAGCAGCCCCGTCACTTTGGTCACTGGCTGTTTATAGGGACACTCATCCTGTGACTGAAGCCCAAGGTGCTCTGTGTGAACGCTCACTCCACTCCAAGGGGCCCGTGGGAGGCAAAGGGACACTTGAAGGGAGCCGAGAGGGCTCTCCCTGGGGAAACTTCTTGTCTGATCCCAACAACAAGGTCCCTGAACAAGGCTTGGGCTCTTGTGGGCACCTCCAGCTTGCCAGGACAGAAGAAGCTGGTGTGGCTCAGAGGGGCCCAGGCGGACCCCGTGGGTCAGGGCTGCGGCTGACCCCCGCCAGCCCTGCAGGCAGGCCTGGGTGGAACTGGGAGGAGACACACCCCTGGGTCACAGGACAGCCCAGAGGGGCAGAGACAGCAGCTAACGGGCAGGGCCAGGCCTCTCTCTTCCCAAGGCAAGGAGCCAGTACGCAGCCCCAAGGCACCAGGGGGAGGGGGGGGGGTCCCAGCAAGGCTTCGAGAGGGCAGGACACAGAAGCCCTGGGCAAGGAGTTGGTGGAAGCACAGGGAAGGCACCTGCCTTGCACAAATTAGATCCCCGATACCCCAGAATCTCCCAAGCCACACCAGGAGTGAGCCCTGAGCACAGAGTCAGGAGTAAGCCCTGAGCACTTCCCACCTTCTGGGGGAAAAAAAAGAAAAAACAAAAACAGAAGCCCAGGGCAGACGAAGGCCAGGGCTAGGGTTTCCAAGCTCACTGCAGGGGCTGGAGCAATAGCACAGTGGGTAGGGTGTTTGCCTTGCATTCGGCCAACCCAGGTTCTATTCCCAGCATCCCACATGGTCCCCTGAGCACCGCCAGGGGTAATTCCTGAGTGTAGAGCCAGGAGTAACCCCTGTGCATCGCCAGGTGTGACCCAAAAAAGCAAAAAAAAGAAAAAAAAACCAAGCTCACTGCAGTCCAACAATCCCCTGCCGAGCTATTTGCAGTTTCCAAAGCTTTTGCACATACATCATCACATTTCTGGAGCACTCTCTGTCATTTTCCAGACGGGGAGACTGGACCCCCTGAGCACCAGTGGACAGATGCCCAGTGCCAGACTGGTGCTTGACCACTCATGGCGACTCCCAGCCCAGGCCCAGAGGAACTCACTAAAACCGAGGGTTGCTTATCGTGCGAGAGACTGGGCAGGAGCCGTCCCCAGATGGGGAGAAAGAGAAGAGAGAAGGAGGCAGTGTGGAAGTAGGGTGCTCAGGCCAGCCTGGGGCCAGGGCGCAGAACTGGTGACTAAGGCTGAGGCGGAGCTAAGGGTTTGAGGTCTCAAGAAACAAGACAAAGTCACTGAAAGGGAAAGAACAGAAGGAACAGAAGCAAGGAGGTCAAAAGTGGGGTGGAGGGCAAAAGGGAGCCCCTGGCCATGTGAGGGGAAGACAGATCAGACCCTGGCTGATCTGGAGCCAGGTAGTACAGCAGGCAGGGCCCTTGCCTTGCACAAGTTTGGCCCAGAATCGATCCCCGGGATCCCAAAGGGTCCCCCGAACCCCACTAGGAGTGGTTCCTGAGTGATAGACCCAGGAGTTATCCCTGAGCACTGCCAGGTATGGACTCCCAAATGGAAAAATAAAAACAAAAACGTCAGGTCAGATCTGGTCAGCCCAAAGGGAGTGAGTGAGTGGGAAGTGAGGGGCGCTGGACCAGAGGCCGGGCAGGGCAGGGCTGGCAGGAGACAAACCATGGGCGAGGAGGCCGCAGAACCCCCTTACTTAACTGGGGGCCATGGCAGATCAGGAGATGGAGTAATCCTGTCCCACATCCTCTGGGAGAAGGGGGGGACGCTCAGCCCAGCAGCAAGGCCAGAGGGCTAAGGGACCCCCACCTGCCAGCCAGAAAGCAAATCCTAGCGGCCTGTCTGTGCCCTAGAAGGAAGGGGACACATCCCCATCTGGAGGAGGCTGGCCTGGCTCTTCGCTCCAGCGAAAAGGAAACCCAGGCCGAGAGGGGAAGTGACTTATCTACCATCCCACAGAAAGGGAGCCCCCAGGATGTGGGGCGTGAGCACTGATGCTGCCTGGTCCCTCTGGACTGCCCCAGAACAAAACAGTGACATTGTCTTCGCCTGGAGGGGCAGCCCCTGAGACTCCCCTCCCTCAAGGGACGAGAAGTGAAGTCTCCTGGACTCAGACTCCCCTAGATTCGGCCTGGTGCCCCTAAACTCAGAGGGGCACTCAGCAGGACCCCCTCCCACGGGCACCCCAGAACACCCCTGGTCGGCAGGAGCTGCGGACAGGGATGCGGACACTGGGGGGACCCCGGACGGGGGTCTCGGGCAGCACCCACCCGTCCGTGGGTCCGAGTTCTAGCTGAGGAGAAGGGAGGGGGCAGAGTGCAGACTCGCGAGCACTGAAGCCCGCCGGGCCAGACCCTGACAAGGACCCGCACGCGCCCCGCCGCTCGGTCCTCTGCTTGCTCCGCTCTCAGCCAGTGGTCGGGGCCGAGCCTCAGTCTCCCGCCAGCCCGATGAGACGAAGCCCACCCCACGCCCAGGCTGGCCAAAGTACCCGCGAGGACGAAGTGAAGGAGCATGCAAAGAGGGCAGCCTCCCCCATCTCTGCCTCTCCCGGCCCGGCTCTGCCCGGGCGGGCTGGGGGGGGTCCCGATCGCGGGAGACCGCAGCGCTCCAACAAGGGCCTGAGTCCGGGACCCGCAGCCCGTGAGACGAGTTCAAAATCCCGGCCGATCGCGCCCTCACCTCCTCCTCCATGGCAGTCCGTCGGCGTCTGGCCGCTCCGGCGTTCACTCCCGGCGCGGGGCGGGCTCGGCCTCCAGCATCCACGCCCGGCGGGGCGGCGGCTCTCAGCGGTCTGCCCCGCCGCCAGCCCGCGGCCCAAGAAACTTCGGGGGGGCGGGGCCAGGGGCGGGGAGAGGCTTCCGGGGCCGGGGCGGGGCCTGGCAGGGGCGTGCCGGGCCGAGGGCGGGGCCTGTAACGGGAAGCAGGGAGCGGGGCCAGGGCGGCGAGAGGCACTCGGGACCGGGGGCGGGGCCTGGAGGGGGCGTGGCGGGTCAGGGGCGGGGCCTGGAACGGGAAGCAGGGGGCGGGGCCAGGGCGAGAAGCGGCTGCGGGGGCGGGGAGGGGCGGGGCCTGTCAGGGGCGTGTCCGCCCGGAGGCCCGAGAGTGGGGGCGGTGGGAGCGGGGCCGGGTTGAGGGCGGAGCCTGGCTAGGGCCGGGCGGGTGGTTGGGGTCGGGTTGCAGAACTGAGACTGGAGGAAGAGGGCGGGACCGGTTGGAAAGAGGCTTCCCGGACCCGTCGAGGGTTCAGGAAGGGTGGACGGAGGAAGAGGACCCGGCGAAGAGATGGGGATGGGGAGGGGTTTCCTGCCCGAGGCCACGGCGAAGGATGCGGGAGAGGCCGGGGCGGGGCCTTAGAGGTCAGTAGACCCGTGGGTGGATTGCGAGGCGCGGGGTGGGGCGGGAGGGTGCTAGGGCTGCAGACTAGGTCAGAAGACCCTGAGCGGCCTAGAAATGGGGACTCAAAAAGGCTCTTCCTCAAATTCCTCCCCGAAATCGGAGCCGAGGTGGTGACCCTGTATTCTTGTCCCCGAAATCAACTGGCAGAGCAGGTCTTGGAGCTGGTGGAGCCGTCTAATGGGAAGACCTAGGAGAGGGGTTCTGGACTTTGGGGGTCCTTTCGGAGGAGAATCTGCTCCTGGTTCTCAGGAGTCCTAAATTTAGCATTGCTTTGCTTTCTTTGAGCTTTGCTGAGAACTGTGGTCCTCTCTGGTTCCTAGAATGAAGCCACCCTGAGCCCTCACCGGCAATCCCAGTAGCAATCAACAGCCAAGACACTTGCTAGAAGCTGGGCTTCAGGGACCAGCAGAGAACGGCATAAGTTATGCAGAAGCCTTCGTTTTACTCTTAGGGAAACAGAGATTTAGAGCCAGAGGTGCTCCGTTCCAGTCTCTAGCACCAACCCTCTTCCCTGCTACCCTCTTGGGTCAACCCTAGCAGAAAGAATTAAATGCCTGTGGAATCGATGATGACCTCCGTGGGCTCTGGCTGCCATAGCAGCAGCTGTACCAGTGGACAGAGTCCAAGGCTCCCCAATCACTTTCAATCCTGCATGGAAGACTCAAACCAGCAGGGGAAATGATTCACCGCGCTTTCCCCTCAAGCCTAGTCCTGGGTTCCTTTGTCTAAAGGCATGAAGAAAACCCACTTTGAGACCCTAAGAAAGTTTAATAGGGGCCGGAGTGATAGTATAGTGGGTAAGGCACTTGCCTTGCGCTCAACCAACCCAGGCTCTATCCCCCACATCCCATATAGTCCCCTGAACAACTGCCAGGAGTAACTCCTGAGCATCACTGGGTGTGGCACAAAAACAAACGGGGGGGGGGGGGGAATTAAGTATTATATATCCGCAAAGAACAAAAACGATTAAGGAACCTCTGATCCTCGAGACTTAATAGCTATCTCATTTAATCCTTACAAAATTAGAGATCCAGCAGGAGGGAGGGGCTGGGGGAACAAAAGAGGAATCTACCCATAAAAAACATTGTTAACTTCAGTTTACAGATCACGGGCCCAAGAGATTGTACAGTGTGTAGGATGCTTGTCTTGTGCATAGTCAAACTGAGTGTGATCACCAGCACTCCATAGGATCCACCAAGCCCACCAGGAGTGAATCTGAGCACAGAGACAGGAGTAAGCTCTGAGCATTGCCAGGTGTGGCCCAGGTGTCACCAAGCATCACAGCACCAGACTTGCACTGAGCCACCAGAGCCTACACCAGTGGCCTCTATAAAAATAAATTTTAAAAAAAGGGGGCCGGAGTGATAGCACAGTGTGTAGGGCATTTGCCTTGCACATGGCCGACCAGGATTCTATCCCCAGCATCTCACATGGTCCCCTGAGCACCACCAGGAGTAATTCCTGAGTGCAGAGCCAGGAGTAACCCCTGAGCATTGCCGGGTATGACTCAAAAAGTAAAAAAAAAAAAGAAGTAAAAATCAATAAAAATAGGAACAAAGGCCAGAGTGATAATATAGTGGGTAGGGCTTTTGCCTTGCATATGGCCAACCTGGGTTCGATCCCCAACATCCCCTATGGTTCTCTGAGAACTGCCAGGAGTAATTCCTGAGTGCAGTGCAAGGAGTAACCCCTGAGCATCGCCAGGTGTGACCAAAAAAGCCAGTAATAATAATAATAATAAGAAGAAGAACAACAACAACAACCAAGTGACCAGAGAGAGCCCAATGGGCTGCGCACACACTTTGCACACACGAGACCGAGTTCCATTCCCCATTGCATTCTCCTGCTAAGCACTGTCGAGGGATTCCTGAAAACAGAGCCTAGAGTAGGCCCTGAGTACCACAGAGTGTAGCCCCAAAAGCCAAATAATAACAACAAAGAATTAGTACAGGAATAGGCAGTTTACAAAAGTCATTATTTAATTTGACTAAAAAATATGGGCGGGGGGGAATATGGGAGATAAGAGGTGGAGAGATAGTACAATGGAGGATAAGGCATTTGCTTTGCACCTGACCAAGGTTTAATTCCCTGGCACTATATATGGTCTCCTGAACACAGCCAGGAGTGGCCCTGAGTGCAGAACAAGGAGTAAGCCCTGAGCACAATCAGGTACTGTCCCAAATCAAAATAAGAGAAAAGTAAATAAAAATTTAGATAGTAAATTGGTGGGGACCTGAAATGCATACTTCGTATGCAAGAAACCCTGTTTGATCTTGGCACTGAATGGTTCCCCAACAATCACCTGGAATGACCCTTAAGTACAGCTGGGTCTCATATATATATATATATATATACATATATATATATATATGTCACTGTCACTGTCCTCCCATTGTTCATCGATTTGCTCGAGTGGGCCCAGTAACGTCTCCATTGGAGACTTTGTTGTTACTGTGTTTGGCATATCGAATACGTCACGGGGAGCTTGCCAGGCTCTGCCGTGCGGGCGAGATACTCTCGGTAGCTTGCTGGGCTCTCCGAGAGGGGCGGAGGAATCGAACTCGGGTCGGCACATGTTGGCTGCGTGCAAGGCAAACGACCTACCGCTGTGCTATCACTCCAGCCCCATATATATATATATATACATATATATATATATATATAACGTCTTCTTTTCTTGTTTCACTCAACAGACTGGAGGCTTGGGTTTGATCCCAGCACTACACGGGCCCCCAAGTCATGCCCAGAGCAACTACCAACAACAGAACAAGGACGGTAGCTTCTGTGCACCGCGGTGTGTGGCTCAAAATCAAACGAAAAACTATGTTATGTTTTATTATTATTGTGAATGAGTCAGGGGTTTGGATTGAGATCTCTATCAAGCGTTCTTCATAATGAAAAAAATCCATTCCTCTGGGAATTTGAGCTTACCAACCTTGAGACTAAGGAGATACCAGAGCAGAGGGACGCTGCTCTCGCAAATGACCGGAAGGTGGCAGCAGAGAGCGCAGCCTCCGGTTGAAGGCAGTGGCCCAGGCTGAGCGGAGAAAGGCGGAGAAAGGCGGAGCCAAGGAAGGCCCGCCCAGAAGCCGAGACCCTTTGGCTCCGCCTCTCCTCCCGACCAATCAGGATCCACGTGGAGGAAACGCCGATGACAGAGGGTGAAGGGGAGGCACAGACTGTTAAATCCTCTCCGAGGTTGTTTGCGTTTTGGGGTCAAAACCAAAACCAAAGCTCAGGGCTTCCTCCTGGCTCTGCACTCAGGAATTACTCCTGCTTGGGCTCTGGAGACCCTCTGGGATGCTGGTGATGGAACCGAGTACACGGCAAGAGCCCTATCCACTGAGCAATCCCTCTGACCCCTTAATTACGTGTTTTTTGTTTGGTTGGATTTTATTTTGCTTTTTTTTTTAAATATAAAGTTGTTCACAATAATTTCTTACATTCAATATTCCAACCCCGATCCCACCACCATTACACCTTCCTACAACTGTCACTGTCACTGTCACACTGTCACTGTCCTCCTTACAACTTATTTTAAATTTTCCCCACCATCACCTAAACCTATCCCAATAGCAGGCCCTAAATAATTTATTTTGTATTCGCTTGTTATGAATAATCTGCTAAAAATGATCCAAGTTTCCTCAGAAGAAAGTGTGTGAAGATTGTTGTTGTATCTCAGTCTGGAGCCTTACGCCCTTGTATAAGAGATTTACTGACATGCTGTTATAGGTTGAGCCTTGTGTGCTAATTATACATATATATATAATCTGATCAATTGCCTTCTACTTTACACCCCATCCAATGTGATGTGCTACTCCTGGTAGATCAGTGGCGCAGAGTATGAGATGTCATACGGCCTTGAAAGTGGCCACACACTCGAGAAATTCTAAAACTTTAAATACGTTGATACAGAGTTAGGTTTTTAACTGGATGGTGACTTTGGGGTCCGGGGCTTGTTGCCCTCTTCCAAGATTAATTTGTGAGTCTCTGGATCATGGCTGTTAATGAGCTTATATGACATCAGAGGCCATGCTCCTGGAAGCACAGGGAGGTGGGAGGAGGTGGCCCATTCCTGACTTCTTGGGAGACTGGGGATTTCAATGATAAAACCCTCATACCTGGGTTTTTCAGCAGACTCATTCATGGATGAGGCTTCTCTGAGCCTGTGGAGATCAGCTGTGAGCAGGGTGGTGATTGAGTTCTGGAGGTTTTCAGCTGCTGGGACTCTGTGGGGGCCGGTGAGTCCCCCTACCTGCCCCACTCCGAGCTGCTCTGGATATGATTTTTAGCCTGAGCAGGGTCTGGAGGTATGTCTGCAGCCTTGGTTGGGTTTTTTGTTTTTGTTTGAGGCCCAC